TATAATTACAGGAACTGAGTGATGCATCAACTAGCTATTTTGGGCATCCCCTATCTGGGCTATGAAGAGAACATTTAAAATAAAATATATGTCCTTTGCACTGACAGTCTCCACTAGACTGCCACCAGTCAGCATGAGAACACACACTGGTCCAACTACTTCTTCCTTGGAGCTGCAGTACTCACTCACTGCCAGCAGAGAGCACTCACACGTTAGAGAGTGCCCACTCATGGTGCACTCACAGGTAGCTCTCACTGTTTGCCCCCACTGAGGGCTGCATCCTGCTGCCATTCAGGCCTGTTAGAGTATATCTAAACGGTGCCTAAACAATGGTTTTTTTTTGTTTTTTTGGGCAGGGTCACAGCTGGGATGGGAGTAGGAGTTGATGGGAATGTTGAGGTGATGGGTCTACCTTTACCTTTAGACAAGCACAGCCCAGCAAAAGTGCTATTGCGCTATTAGCATTCGTGCGTGGGTGGCATGAGCTTAAAAAAACCTAGGGTAAATAAAAGCAGTTTCTAGCAGTCGCTAAGGCAGTACTAAATGCTTGCTAAGCATTATTTTGTCTGACTGACTGCCCATCTGTTTTCTAATGTGACACTAGAATAAAACGCAAAACTCATCTTCAGTGACTTCAGGAAGCTTCGTCTAGTTTTACAGATAGCACACTCCCTGTATCGCAAGTTGACTGCTTTATTTAAAGATGTTTATGTCCTTTTACTACAGGAAATGTTTTTCAAGTGTAAAAGACAGATTCTGTTCCTTTTCCCCCAGATAATATGTCATTCAGTACTAACACCTATCATTATCTTTCAGTAGTAATCTCAGTGATATAACCAAATTCTGGTAGGTTAACGATGCAGGTAATGGAGTTAGACTAACAAGAAGTGGAAAAAAAATATATAGGAAACAAGTTCTAGTTGAAAAATGCATTAAAATACCATGAGAGCTTGTAAGAAAATTATTGCTGTACTCTTAAAATAATTTTTATACAAGATAAAGTTTCAACAACTATATATATATTACTACTTTGATGTATTTTTATGTCCTGCAAAAAAATCTTGTAATACATTGATTCACAGACAATATCATATTATGAACTTTTATGAACTTTAAGTCCACTAAGAAAGCGATTAGATTGTAAACTGGCAAAACATTAACCAGGTTTGGTTAAAGTATATTCAATAAAAACAGTATTTGACATTTATGATTTTTATTAGGCTTTGTAACGTGAGTGACGTCTATATTAATTGAAAGACGTTAAAACCAGAAATAAAACAATGAGCAACCACAAAAGCTAGACAAAGCAAATAAATGCAGCGCCAAAAATGAACAACCCAATAACTGTAATATGCATCATAGTACACATAATACACAGACATCCTGTCCGGTTCCTACATACACAGATCATTGCTTCAATTAGGGGAAACTCAGCAGAAGATGAACTGGCATAAATGTTTATGGAAACTGAATATTCGATCAGCAAGGTCATATCCAGGCTGGGCTCTTTGTGGTAATAGCTCTGTCTTGAAATCAGTCCTGTCCCTCACTGAAGTGGAGCAGCTGATAGGCCATTCCCATCCTGTGGGGGAAGTTCGAGCAAAGAAAAAGCTCAATTTACTCTCCAAAACAGCTATTATTGTTGCAGAAGAGAGGAAGTAATTGCATAGATTATTGTGTATTTTTGCTGCAGCATAGCCTGGTTTGGGTTTCGTTGTCCAGCAGCTGGGGATGGATGCATTAACTGTGTTGTTTTGTTATGCTTTATTCTTTGTACTTGTCTCCTGTTCAGTGCAAAAAGTTGAGTAGAGAAGATTGAATTTCTGGTTCTAAAGAGGTGCCAATATTGAGACTTATAAATATTTCTGCACATGATGCCTGTAGTGCCAAGCCCATGTTTTTAGATTTTTATACATTTTGTGAAGAAAATATTCTTACGTATTGAACACATTGCTGTTGTAACAAAATATATTTGCAAACAGTGCATTTAATTTAGATAATTATATAAATGTTTATTTTAGGGGCAAGTATTAAGAAGACCATTAGCTATAGCAGTGGTTTCCATTTAAAATTCAGCAATGCCCACCTAGACAATTATTTCTCTAGCTGAGGTCCAAAATATAAGTTGTCGTAGTAAAACAGCCATATTAGTTTCCTTCACTGGTCATAGGCTGGTATTTCCTTGTGTGCTTGCAGCTTAACCGAAAGTGACGTGAGAATTATCATAAAGGCTAGAAAAGCTGGACGTCCTAAAACAAATTACTATAAACACTAAGAAAGCTGTGCCACTTCAAATGAATGACTGGAAATGTGGGGAAAAGCTGTGCCGCTTAAAATAAATTACCATAAATTTGGGAAAAGCTGTACTTCCTGAAACATATAACCATAATTTGTAGAAGAGCTGTGCCGTCTAAAATAAATTACTTTAAATACAGCAGATTGTTATGCAAGTAAAAACATGTATACATATTAGGGGTGTAACAGTACGCGAAAATCACATTTCGGTTCGGTTCAGTTTCAAGGAGGGCTCGGTTCGGTTCATTTTCAGTACAAAAAAAGGCCAAAATAAAGACTTGCAAAATGTTTATTTTGAAAATATGCCAAGTAAACTATACATTTGTATAAAAATAAATTTAAGCAACCCATTTGGATTATATTTTAATTAAACTTCACTCTTTACAATAAATAAACTATACTAACAATAATAAAAATCTTAGTAAATACAGTCAGAACCAGAACAATAAGCAGCAACAGACCGTTTAGAATCTTAACTAATCAAGTTTTAAGTTTTTAGCCTAAAAGACCAACTTGTCCACATTTTCTGCCAAAAGCACAGATCTAGTTGCAGTGACATCATCTCCAGCGGTGGAGAAAACCGCTCACTAACAACAGTAGCAGGAATAAAGAGGTCGAGTTTTGCTAGTTTTGCAGTGTGGCTGTATTTGACCTCATTACTCAACCTTCTCCCACCTGTCCCTGGAAAAGTTCAGAGTTCAGTCATCACAGACTTCTTAGCTGGAGGTGATCTATGGTGGATTTCCCTGAAGAGGAAGAAGACTCAGCTGCTATCTTTGTCCCAGACTGGAAATAAAACACAAAGAGGTATAAAAAAAAAAAATTAAAAAAAAGAGTTAATAAGATTATAATTTTAAATTAAAAAAGTTAATTAGATCATAATAATACAATAAACAATACCTCTTCTTGAACGGTCATCATTTGTTATGAGGACGTTGAATCATCATCAGGGCAGGGCAGGGCTTGTTGACAATATCAGTTTTAGCTTTTTCATAAAGTGCTGCTACAACTTTTTGGCTGAAGTGTTGACGTGATGGATGTTGTAGTGGGGCTCAATAACTTTAAAGTCGACACATCAACAATAGAATACTGACGTAGATCGATAGCTTTAAAAACTCCTACAGCTTGTGTTATTGCTCTGGACCGATCTGAATTACCTGATAAAGGTTGTTTAAATGCTGCTGCTGTTATTGGTCTTTACACCAAGCTGCTATTCTGTAGAAGAGATGTTCATATTCGGATGATGTTGTTTCAAGTGAGTTAACAAGTTAGACGTGTTGCCTGCTGCAGATCCAATCTATGTGAAACGACGTCGACACACAGCTTTGGATTTGCACTTGTCTTTTAACAAGAAAGCCATAATGTTCCCAAACAGGAGACCGCAACGAGATGCTAGGCTGCTAACGATACGCGTGCTGCAAGACTATAGCGCCGTGCTGAAACACGCTTAGGAACTTTAGTTCCGCGGCGAATAATCTTTCGTTAATAAAAATTTAATGAGCGAAAAAATAACCAAAACGGTACGCACGTGGACCGAACCGAGAATGCCGTACCAAAACGTTTTTTTATGAAAGTTCAAGTAAACCTAAACCTGTCTCCACTTACTGTAGTGCAACTTCAGCTGCATGCATGATAATTATACTTCATTGTGTGTTTCCAACCCGCCCTCTGCTTGTCATTTTCTTTCAATATTAAAGGTTTAGCCTGAACAGATGTAAGAATCCACATGTCTTGTAGGAAGTCCAATCACCATATGAATTCAAAGGTTTTATTCTAACGATTATTCTGCCTCTGTGGTATATTGTTTGCAGCACAAAGCAATCTGCTCCCGGTTTGGAAAGGGAGGTGCATCTTTTCCTCTCATTCTGTCTCGAGTGGCGATATAGAGTTTAGACGGCGGCAACTGGAACAGAGCCAAAGTAATTTGGTCCTCATCCTCGATGTACAGTCACATGTGCCAAGACTTAGCTGAGGGAGAGATGAGGAGATGAGGGTGATTGAGAGGGTGACAATCAAAGAGGTCACGGATTTGTATCGATGCAGATAGAAGGACGCGCAGCCCGACACTGCATTTTGCTTGAGCTCGTCAGCGTAAAACTCGTCGCCGTTTCTTACTTTCCCGAGAAAAAGTGTCAACACAGATCTGAGACCGATGCTAGATAAGCCATATGGATGTGTACGCTAACCTGGGAGGTGATGAGGATATATTGTGGAGTTTTGAATGGGCTCTGTGATGATGTAAATTAAAGAGGAGGCCTTTAAATGTGAAGCGAGGGGCCTTATTGCATATGCATTGAGGTAGATCAAAGCCTTTTCGGAGGTCACACATTTACATAGCGATATCAGCAGAGCTATGGGAACCTGGCAACCTCGTCTCTGGACTATTTCTGAATAAAGAGAGCCCTGTGGAAGTCTTTTTGGCTCAATTAAAACAAGAGTCAAGGAAGTTCCCTTTGCTTCATGGTCTGAGCGAGCCAAGAAATCTAAACCTCTGGAATGAAATAACCGAGATGATTTAGTTTCAGTTTTTACCTCGTTTTGTATTTAGTGTATTAACTAATAGCAAAAAAGAAGATTGGTAAAACATTTTATTTCTCTTGAAGGATTTATTCCCATGCGCAAATAAAAAAATAAATATTTTTTAATCAAATTTTAGTCTGAAAGTCTGTTATGAAAAAGGGTTTTTAATTTGTATTGTGTTTCAGGAAGGGAACCTCAAAAGCTCTTTCTGCTCCACAGTCAAAAGGTGAGTGCATACATAGATCACAGAAAATGATTTTAGAAAGTGTTTTTTTATTAAACAGATTGCTTTAAAGAGGTCAGCGTTTAAAAATGATTTCATTTGATTTTAAAATTTTTATTTTCTATAACTGTATGATCAAAAATGTTCTGTGACTGCATCGCCTTTTGAGGATATGTAAATAAATTTAAAAAAAAAGGACCTTGAAGTTAAAGTCCAGGTTCCTGAAAACATCTGAAACCATCCACTGCGCTAATAGACATAAAAAGCTTATTTTTCTAACTCACAATCATAAACTGAAATGTGTGAGACTCTATTAGCTCCTGTGAATTTTAAGAAAGGGGATATCTGTGACACTTTAAACTCTTTTTATGACATCATCCTTAGGTTTTTTTTTTTTTAGCTTTTGACTGTAGTTTTCATGTAAATTCATCAAGCTAAAATTTTTACTTTGACTCAAACTCTTATAAACTTATGTTTGACTAAACTAAGAAGTAAAGCATTATTTTGTTTCTTTTTTGTGTCTGTTTTGAAGCTTTTCGGGAGGACTCCGACAACAGCAACTCAGACATTGAAGCAGCTTTACGTCCTCCAACGTTCAACTCAAACAACGAGGGCATTGACGACTTCTACGACTGAGATTCCCTCTGAGATAATATTCAAATGTTCTCCATTATATCACTATAGATTTTAAAGGCAGGTTGCTCACCCCTTGACCTTTGTTTTAGTGGTCTGCATTGTAATTTGTATGCACACTATACTGTAAAAACAAATAATAAAGTTGACAGCTCTTACACAGGATAAAGTATGTGAAGAGTTGTCCAACGCACCGATGTTAACCCTGCTTCAGTCTCTTTATCTGAACAACTCTCCCGGCTCATAATAACAGCTCGAAATAGATTAAACGGATCTTTTAAAGCGATTTGTTTGCACTGGGCTGAAAATCATGCATTTTGAATGCTGCAGGCATCTCCGAGTGCTCTACTTCCAGCACGCTCGAGTGTAGTGATGTGAGTCACCTGTGAAACGACAAAGCACAATGGCCACTCCGCTCGCTTTGGCGTGACCTACGACCCTGCTGAAGAGGCTCGTCTCCCAGGGCACAACGTGTTGCAATGCTAACTAACCCAGAATTTTTAGAACCCCCACCTCCCTTCAACAAAAGCGCTGAACATAATCTTACAGCTGCTTTGCTAATAAATAGTTGTACCTAAAAAAGGGTAAAATTGTGTTTACGTCTCCATGTTTTCGCACAAAGTAGTCAAACTGCTGATTTTCCAAAACAAGTCTGCGATTTAGGATTTTCCACACGCTGAACCATCTGTGTCTATTATTAAGCGTGTCGCTGTGTGGGAGGTTACATTCCAAGGGTTTACATTTATAGTTCATTATTTCTGCTGTGTAAATTTCCAAAACTGCCGTTCGGGGATATGGTAAAAGCCGCCAGCATGCAATGTCAGCAGGATTCCATTAGTCAGCTTTAGGTGACTGTACAGGCCTGAACCTTTCAAAGTAGGACTCCACATTCATTACCAATAATGGCTTCAGACAGCCCTGACCCACCACAGAAAAAGGGACTGTGGCGGAGTAATTTAGAGTTTGCTAAAAGGTTCCCTAACATAATATCCAGTTAAGGAGCATGTCAACAGATACTTGTGTGCGACTGATGGCTTGTGGTGGAAAGTGGACTTATATTGTACGAATGTGTACCAGCAGAAACCTGTTTTTTATAAAGAACTTATGAGTCTGTGCCATGAAGATAATTTGAATGTTCATTCCTTTGCGGAGGGAAGTGTAAAGTTTGAAGAGATGCTGTTCACAAAGGAAATGACTGTTTGCTGCATCACATGATCAGGATTACTCAGGGCAGAGCTCCAGGTGACGCGTTTGGTTTAATCCCCACAAAATTGGTTCACATTCACATTTTTAAATGCAGGTTTTCAAGACTGCTAAAGCCAAGCAGTGACTTACTGTACAAAGTTTGTATTGTATAAGATATGTTTACATTTTATAATAATGAAGTTGTGAACCGTCTTTCTTTTTTGTAACAAAGGAGTCAAAGTTTGCTCTACTTTCATTGTTTAAAGCAGGGGTTCTCAAACTTTTTGGGTTCAGGGACCCCTTACAGGGGAGAAAATGTTTCAGGGACCCCTCATAACCCTCATGTTTATTAAATAATTTTCTTCAATTTGTCTCTTTAATGCAATGGAAATATTTGTGTAACATAAATACTTAGACCTGTTCTTTAATAATGTTAATACAAATTTTATACTTTTAAACATGGGGTGTTTTTCATTTAAGACACACTTAATTAACAAAATTTTTAATTTCAACTTCCAAAAATTACAGTTTTGAGAACATTAACAATATCAAAAACCACTTTAAACCTTTACCTATTCACATAATGAATATTGCCAGTCCTTCAAAATATTACAAAAAAAACTTTTTTCATAAAACTGAACAGAATCATAACAGTAGTAATCATACCAAGTAACAGGGCTTCATTTATAAATTGATTGATGCCGGAACGCAAATAGGGGGCGGGGCTTGGTGGTGCAGGCAGGATCGTCCCCTAGAAGATTTTGAATAAAGTAGATGTGATTTTCTGCAATGTGGTGTATTTTAACAGGTTGTTAAACATATAATTATTTTCTTTTGCGGACCTCCAAGCACCTTCTATTAGTCCCCCAGTGGTCCAGGGACCCTAGTTTGAAAACCACTGGTTTGGTCTTTATGTATGATGTTTCAGGCTTTAAAGAAATCTTTCAATGTTTTTTTTTTTGATCATTGACTCTTTTTTTTCAGTATTCTTTCAGTCCAGTTCTTGCAAGATACCATTTTCAAATAAAATGTTTTGTTATTGTTTGTTAAACTTAACTGTGACACATGTATTATTCAGTAAAACCAGCATAAAGCAGACAGACACTGTCTTTAATTTGTGTCTGTAGGAACTTTGTTAGCTGCACCGAGGTTTACAATAAAATAAATGTCATGCTCACCACTTTGTAATAAAAATGGTGGCAAGACTTTATGCAGCAGCAAAGCTGACCTGCCAAATGTGAAACCTTTTCAGGTGAAAATAAGAAATACAGTCTCAGCAAGAAAAAACGAGAGATTTTCGTTGAGCTCGTTATATTGTAGCTCCATTTTATTTTTCACTTCAATATAGAGTCCTAGACATTTGAGGATGGTGCTGTAGAGAAGCTCATTGTCGAGGCGGCCTCTCATTCAACGTGATCCTTTAAATGCAGTTAAGCAAAGCAAGTGAGCACAACATAACGTCTATTTGGAGCACGTTGAGTAAATAGATTTGATGCTCCCGCTGAATGCTGCTGTGTCTCATACATCCAGGAACTGCATATCTATGTTATATAGGTCAAGGTCTGACGCGAGGCTCCAGATGTACGCATACAAACAATATCTGAAGTAGGATGCTGACTGTTTGACAATAAAGTAATTTTTCAGAGCTGGTTTAAAAAGCAAACTAAACAACTACCAGACAGCAGAAGGAAAATAGGGAAGAAAGGCATTTTGCTTCCATTTTATTCGAGCTTTATTTTATCAACAAGTACAGCACAAAAAGGAAAAAAAAAAGTACTGAAATATGTAGTGATGCTCAGTCCTGTGTATGCACTTGAGTCCAATATTCAAAATACAACATTTCTTGTGGCTGCATTATTGTCCACTACTATCAGAGAAATTGTCTCCTGTACTCCAGATCTCCATGTTTGATTGTTGAACAGCGTTGCAAAATGGCTCTTCAGCGCGCAGCCTGTATTCTCCACTACCCTACTCTTATTTTGCACTGAATAATCATTTAAAGCAAGGTCATTTTGATCTTCTGCCTCAATAGACCTCAATTAAATATTCATTCATTCGGATGCGGCCTCTTCGGCAGCTTCTTTGGTATGTGTGTTAAAAAGACAAAGGGCTTTGCTTTTGATTATACAAGCCTGGGCATTTTCAAAGAGATCTGGAACCATTAAGTAAAGTTAAACAATCCTTTCCACCGCTCAACTGTTTTTTTGTTGTTAAATTGTTTGCTTTACCTATTTTGCCCTTGACTATCAAAACACTACTAAGCACTTTATTAGGTTTGCGATGCCTAATCAAACTATGTCTTCAAGTCAGGTTTTTTTGTGCTTTTACTTCAGCTTTTTTTTTAATTCAGCAATTTATTTGGAAATAAAATCCATTTTGCTTTGTGTTGACAAAAATAATGTCTAGATTCAGCATTTAAACACACCAATGTTGTTTTTATTGTAAAATTAGTGTATGTTTTTGGAATTTTACACACCAACATGATCTGGAAGGATAAAGAATATTACTAGCATTAGTTTATAAAATGTATTTATTTATATTTGTAAATATTTTATTGTGGTCAAACATCCAGGCTTTGACTTTTTAAATAAGTCTTCTACTTCTTTGTTGTGCTACTTTGTACTTGTTTTAAAATAAGTGATCAGTTTCTGTATGTCTATGATTTGACAAAATTCAAGTACTGATAGTTTGATTTTCCGTTGTAGGAAATTTCCAGAAGAAACAATATATTTATTTATATGACAAACTTTTTTCATGATGCTCATCACAACTTTTTAAAGTAATGCATCAAAGGAAGAAGTTCATGTCTGTTACCGGTTTGTGATTTAAGCTGATTTATACATGTTTGTTTGTTGTTGTTTTTTTTGTAGTAATTTTGTTTTTTCCAACCTAAATATGTAGTTTTGAATCTAACCATAGGATTAAGGTGTCTAAATTTAAAAATCAAGCAAGGGACATTGCTGTTAGGGTATACATTTTAAAACAAACTTGTATAAGAGTCAGAATCTCACCTCCCAGACTCCTAATGAGGAAAATCATTTTCATAATATTTTGATTGTTTTTTTATCTATCTGTCTATCTATCTATCTGTCTAATTTTTATGGAAAAATACAAATGGTGTTAATTTAGTGTTACTGAAAGGACTAGCAACAAAGTTACACATTTAAAAATAGGAAATGCTTTAAATATATAGTAGAGTTTGCGTTATTGAACTACGTATATAAAATTGAGACAAAAAAATAGTTTTTTTTCAAGCTGCTAATGTTTAGGACAAAAAGAGCAAATCTTTGTCTCTAAATGTATTTTAGCAGAAGAAGAAGAAAAAAAACTGTGTTTATGCTCTTTTCCTCACTGTACACACATTCACTGAAATATTTTAAAGGCCACTTTAGTTACACAAGGTTGTTGAGAAGGACATAAAGAAAATGGGGTTTCAGTAGCATTTAAATGTTTCAGGACCGAGGACAGCTCTCTGTGCTCCTCCATGTGTGCATTCAATGAAAACCAGTTCAGCACCGCTGCACATAGACAGCTTCAGGCACTCAGACAGGATTTTTAATAGGAATAACATAAACCAGGCAATTTAAACAAGAAATTGACAGTCTGCAACACCACAAGCAGATCCAGAGTAAGATATGTTTAAACAACATTCATATCAAATGCCATTTCTCTTTTATTAAACGTTTGGTCCAAGAACAAATATCTGTTGTTGCACTTCAACCATAAAGGAACTCACTGCTACCTGTTTTCAACCCCGTCAGCAAGACGGTCAGCGTTATAAGAGTTTAATGTGCACATGCACCACAGATTAATTTAGA